GGGGCCTGTCTGTGTGACGTCACACAGACAGGCATCTGAGATCGGCTCGATTTGAGAAAGGGGAAAACATTTAATCAGATAAAAAAAAACACTGGGTGGATTTTTATCCATTATAGGGTGGTTGTGTACACACACTGCCAACACACATTTCAGTTCAAACAACTTGTAAAAGTGCATGTAGCATCCTATGACCCCTTTAAATGTAAATGTAAAATGGTTTAGTTACCATTTGTGTATTGCCAAAGAAAGGAAGTCATATGGATTTGGAAAAAGATGAGGTTGAGTAAATGATGACAGAATTGTCATCTTTGGATGATCGATCTGTTTAACTAGATTTATGTTGCATAAACAGACGTTGGCACTTGAACTTACAGCAAACGCATCTGCAAACCATTTGGCTTCATCTTCAGGAAATTTATTCCCTGTGAACATAAACATTGCGTTCTGTCTCACTGTGAATCAGGTTTACCATCTGATCGTGCTGTATGCACATATGCATGAAATACCTGACATTTTTAATGATTTAATGGAAATGCTTTCCAGGAGCATCTTAGCGACGCACTCGTCTCCAGCAGACTGAAGGTGATTGTCAGAAAGATCCTGGAAGATGCCAGAAGTTAATGCTTTGCTTCCCTCTACTGGTCAAATTCATCACAACAGGTAAATGAGAATAGTAAAATAGACTTACAAGATTGTGAATGGTGAAATTGGCCCTCAGCATCTCCATGAGATATCTGGCTCCTTTGGCTAACAGGGAGTTGTCTGCCAGCTCCAGTGTTGTGGTGTGCATGTCTGTCTACACACAGAGCGTCTGAAATCAGCACATCAGCTGTAGATCATCAGAGCATCAGAAACGGTCAGTATTACCACGAGAGCGATGGCCAGGGCTTTTGCTCCCATAGGACCGAGTCCATGATGGTTGAGGTTAATGGTGGCAGAGTTAGTCATTAGTCTTACGCAGGTTCTGTGACAAAGCATTAATAATTACGTTATTTATTTGATATGTTGAATGTAGTAGTATGTCCTACTGATAAAACTACAATCAGTAATTTCAAAACAGATTTTAATTACCGCAAGTGTCATTCAACCTTGGCCCAATGAAAATGTATTTATTAAATGTGATTAAATATTACAAATAAATACATTTGAAAGATTTATAAAGAAATATGATAACATGTTTATGGGTAATTGAAATACTCAAAAATGAAATGAATTATAAACACAACATTTTTTTTTTTAAATGCATATTAATTTATCTTAAGTTGCAGTTATGAATATGCATCCTGTACTAGGCCTCATCTCAAGTTCTCAGCACGAACCTTGAGCGCTGTTGATTCAGATCTACAGTTTTAATCCGGTCCTTACCCTGAGCGTCCGGCTCTGTGTCGCCTTCATCCTCCAGAATCACGTCGTGTGGATTCTCATAGTCGGTCAAGCCGAGGGAGTCCAGAGAGAGACTGTGTACACTGATGTCTTCATCACCCCTCATCTTCTACATACAGTTTAACAGTGTCATATGAAGGTCTAGTGTTGTCCAGTGTGAAGCTGGTTTATGTGTCTTAGCAACAGGTGTATATGTGACACCTGCACTACTGCTGGAATCCACCTGTGCATGCAAAGAGAAAGTCATTAGTCAAATGCATGCAGACACATTCCTGCAGTCTGCTCAAACTGCAGCAAAGCACTTCAAAACTAGTATCACCATTCATGTGCTGTCTGGAATTATTTCTCTTTTTATTTTAAAGGAATTGCCACGGCAGTGCATGAACTGCATGCATGAAACACATTTGCTAATGTAGCTGTTATTGCCAATGATTAGTTGAAATGATGCTCTCCTGCCTTGATCACAAAAAATCCTAAAAACTTTAGATGAAATGAATCTCACGTATGATCATGCTGAGAACAAAACATGTTTTATTAATCAAAGATTGACTTATTTGTTTATTCATTTGTTTGTTTGTTTGTTTGTTTATGCATCTGGCACGAGGAGTCCAGGGAATGCATGAACTGATCAAATATATAGCTTGAATGCAATCTCACATTGGATGAAAGTCTTAAGTCGCTGGGGTATATTTGTAGCAATAGCCAAAAATACATTGTATGGGTCAAAATTATTGACTTTTCTTTTATGCCAAAAATCATTAGGATATTACGTAAAGATCATGTTCCATGAAGATATTTTGTAAATGTCCTACCGTAAATATATCAAAACTTAATGTTTGATTAGTAATATGCATTGCTAAGAACTTCATTTGGACAACTTTAAAGATGATTTTTTCAATATTTCGATGTTTTTGCACCCTCAGATTCCAGATTTTCAAATATTGTCCAATCCCAACAAACCATACATCAATGGAAAGATTATTTATTCAGCTTTCAGATGATGCATAAATCTCAATTTAAAAAAATTGACCCTTATGACTGGTTTTGTGCTCCAGGGTCACATATGTAAAAAAAAAAAAAGAGAGAAAGAAAATGCATACATGTTTTGATCTGAGTATGAGATTTACTGTATTCCATCTGAACAATTTCAAGGATGTTTTTGTCTTCTGATAACTCTTTTCCGAGGTAGGAGGCCGTTTGTGCTTTAACAACTGACCAGTAGCTATTACAACAAAATTAGCAATTGTTTCCATTTATTTCTTCATGTTGCATTCTGTGTTTAAACTCATCAGTAAATACTGTATGTTGCAGTTTCAGCTGTTTGTAGAGGAGGTATTTTACCCATCTTACCGTATATGATAACCAAGTCAGTCATCCACTATTCTTTACAAAAACTGATTTTTATGGACTCAAAACAACAATCGTATTCAGTCATAAAATATATAACAGATACTGTAAATAGAATAACCACAATTTTACAAAAATCATTTCATTTTAACATTAACACATCTAAATTAATTTTTATTATGCAAAAAAATATATATTTACAATCATGAAGACAACATAGTAAGAGGGTTACTGTACATGAAATTCTTATTATTATAGCTTATATTTTTTAGTTTTTAGAACTACTTAAAATATCCTATATAGAATTCCTCAAATATACATCAATATCTTCCTTGGGAATAAAAAAAGGTGTTTTCTTTTAAAATTTACATTTATGAATTTTCCAAGAAATAGTAATAAATAATTATAAACGTCTGGTCTGGTTTCAAAGAGTCACCAAAAAGCAAAATTTTTGACTGATACAAAAGTTTGGGGATAAATAGTTTTTTATAAAATTTGAAAAATCAATCCAAAATACTTTGCAATAAACAACCCCAAAATAAGTTCAATAATTGATTCTTTAAAGCGATGACAAAAGGAGCAAGTTTATAATTTACTAGGTAACAATTATGAATTATTTTAAAATATATTTAAATAACTGTATTGGTTAGAAGCCACAAATCTTTCCATTCTATGTCACTGAAAACTTACACAGAAAGTATTGTAAGGTCACCATTTTTCTCATTAAATATATTTCTTAATGTGCTGTTGACATGAAGTTTTCACCAGATGTCGGTAACAACCCAAGTAATCCATACATACAAAGAAAACAATACAAATAAGTTCAGAAATCAAGTTCTGTGCAATAAAGTGGAATACTTATTTTATTTTATTATAATTTTTTCCCTTTTTTTGTTGCAAAACATATACAAACATAATCAGGGAAAATAAGATTATATCTTTGACAGCATCTACACTTATATCAACAACAAAACAAACATTAGTTTATGTATACAGAGAGAGAAAAGCATTATAATAACATTAACGTGTATTTAAACACATCCTCATAAAACATCAAAAATGTTGTGCTTTTTTTGGAAGACACAAAGAGGACTTCTTACGATTACGAATAAAGAATTTTGCATACAAAATAAAAAAAAATTACATATTCAAAAGAAACCTGTTTTGGGTTTCCATAGTAACAAATAGGCCTAATATCTTTGAGGACAAAGTTGTGAACCCCATTTATAGTGCCAACAATATAAAAACTATATATGAACAAATATATATATATATCAATATAAATGAACAAATCTCATCAATGTCAGAATAAATAGAAATGGAGGAGTTAACAGGATAGATTTTGTGAAGCATTTTAGAATGGATTTCTTTAACCTTGTTATACAAAGATATACAAATCTTTCTTTTTATTTGAAAAAGCTTGCGAATATGTTTGTCGATACACTTCCTGTCTAAAATGTTAATAACCCTAACCCAAAAGCATAACAGCATACACCCTCAACTAAACATGAGGTGACTTCTAACTGGATTAAACCTGCTGGTATATACGGGATTATATATTGTATTTATGTATATATTGTATTCTTTTGGTGGAACAGGGACGCACGCCATCATCTACTCAAAAACTATAGACAAGACACAGTTTCTAAGAGAGAAGACATTGTAGCTGAACATTATACAACGCAACGGGTAACTTTGTTAGTGCATTTCAGTAAGAAAGACAGGCCGCCAAGGTATTTGTAAACAGAAGACGGTAGGGCGTGACGTCATCGCGCTGCGTGTGTCGTCATGCTGTTAACGCCCCCTCGCGTCCCGTGTCGTGAATAAAGTTGTTTCGCAGTCCGCCGGTAATCATGATCGCGAGTGTGATGTTTTACGCGCTGTGTCCGCTCTCGAGGCTCATCGGCAGAGTTTCAGGTAAGAAGCTGACAGTGTTTCGTGGCTTGTGTCGGTGTTTGAGCGTAAATAAAGCGCAGCAGCTGTCAGACTGATCTCATGAACGTTACTTTGCTAAAGTGTGGCTCATTATCGGTGTGCAGCGAGCGGTGTTGTTAGTGTTAACTGTCACCGAACAGTTCTGCAGGCCCCTCGATCATTCATCCTTTCATTAATGCTGACAGCCAGGCAACTATTCTTATATCCCAGTGCAGTGATGATGATGATGATGTTGGGATAGACCGGGGCTAGTTGTCACACTTTATTTTCAAACCTTTCTTTATTGACAGAAACCACATTGTCCTCTTGACAACAGCAACGACAACTAATGAAATATTTACACTGGTACTGTTAAATAACAGCAGCAACAACAACAACAATAAAACTGCTTTATTTAACATTTAAATTTGACATATAGTGATTTTACACTATATAATGCGAACCTTAAGTAGTAAAAAAAAGTCAATGTTTCTTCTTGTTGCAGTTATTATTTGTATGTCTTGTCATAAATGCCTATAAATGAAACATTCAAAGAAAAAAGTGAATACATGTGAATCAAAGAAAGAGCAAAAACTTACAAATGTATCAAATCAATGTTCTGGCCGAAGAAATTGTGTTCAATAAATTGTGTGAAATAATTGAAAAACATAAAACACAAATTTGACTTTTTAGATCAAATCTACTTTCATTATATAGTTATATAATAATGATTATTTTACGTCAGTCTGGTTTTATATTGTCCACTTCATACCCAGATATGTGTTATTCTGCATGTATCGGTACCGGCAGCTGATATTGAACACACTGCAGATTGGGACACAACTGTTCACTAAAAAAAGAAGATATTATTCAGTAACTTGCATTTTAGACACAATATCGGTAGTTACTCTCTCTCAGGGGCGTAGCCATCATTTCAGAAGTGAGGGGGACAGAAATGTTATATATATATATTAAAAAAATAAAAATGATAACCTACCAGTCAACAGTTTTTGAACAGTAAGACTTTTTAATGTTTTATAAAGAAGTCTCTTCTGCTCACCAAGCCTGCATTTATTTGATCCAAAGTACAGCAAAAGCAGTAATGTGAAATATTTTTACTATAACTGCTTATTTAAAATAACTGCTTTCTATTTGAATATATTTTAAAATGATTCCTGTGATCAAAGCTGTATTTTCAGCATCATTACTCCAGTCTTCAGTGTCACATGATCTTCAGAAATCATTCTAATATGCTGATTTGCTGCTCAAGAAACCTTTTATTATTATTATTATTATTATTATTATTAATGTTTTTTGAGCAGCAAATCAGAATATCAGAATGATTTCTGAAGGATCGTGTGACTGGAGTAATGATGTAAAAAATGTAGCTTTGAAATCACTATAAATTACATTTTTAAATATATTCAAATAGAAAACAGTTATTTGAAATAGCCTAGTACTTGAAAACCTCTATGCGAACACACTTGCCCGAAAAAGTGCGGGGGACGAATTTACGTGATATTAAAAGTGGGGGGGACACGTCCCCCGCATCCCCCGCGTAATCTACACCCCTGCTCTCTCTCGTGTTTTCAGTGTTTTTGCTCTGCCAGTGGAACTTATTTCAGATCCACTGCAGAATTAACTGCTGCTACATCTCCAATAAAAATACCATGGATCATGAATCAGAGTCACTTTAATTAATTATTATTTTAAACACTTTATATGCGTTTGTAGTTCTGGTGTAACAAAGAGTAAATGTTGTAAGATCTCCGCCGCTAACGCACAGACTGACAGTCTCTCTGAAACAAACCCAGACAAGAGGAATATAACTCTAGTATGACACTAAAAGCCTTAATAGTGGAATTTTAGTTTGAAAGACAGAATTCATAATTTCAGGCTGCATGATTTAGTTAAAAACTGAAATTGCAACATGACTATCACATCACAAAGGCTGTGGTTTAATTAAATGAGTATATCCGCTGTAATTGAACTGTGTTCAATTATTCAGTGTAGGGTTGGGCGATATGGTCAAAAATTCATATCTCGGTATTTTTTGGCAGATTTGCGATGTACGGTATATATCTTGGTATTTTAGTTTTTGTATCTGGATTTTTTGTATTTTTTTTTTAATCTGTATTTAATATATATTTTACATACCGTCCAATGTTGTCCAACGCAACAATACATATTAAAGGCTATGAAAACTAATAAAGTGAATGTAACACTGTAAGCCTAAATATTATGTGCGAAAAGGGTCAATATCACATTTCATTCTAACATTGTAACATTACAATCTAAAAACAAAAATAATGCTTTTAAAGCAGAAGTTAAATTCACTAAACTAAAAATGAAAATAAATGAGAACAAAAGCACAGAGTTGTATTAGGTTATTTTGATTAACCCATTACAGTCACTTTACAGTTAGTGCTTTCATAAAAATACACTTACTTGTAGGGCTGCACGATTAATCGAATGCAATTGTCATTCATAGTATTTAAGCAGTGATAAAGGCATTGCATTATCAATATACGTTATTTTAATGAAAATTATAATAATAATAACTCAGATAAACTGTATATTGCCGTAGTCGTGTGTTTATTAGTCACGTTGAATCAATGAAAGCAGTTGAATCTTCTGTTTATTCAGCTGCAGCAATAGGCATTTTCTGGGTTTCTTCTGCGAGGCGTATTTGGAGTTTCAGCGCGAGAGCGCCCTCTGGCCTTCGGATGGAGATTTACTGCTGATCACAGAACCGTGCCTCACTGGAAGATACGCATGACAATCGCAGCTTCTGTCGAATCGTGATCTCGATTCCATTTCGATTTATCGTGCAGCCCTACTTACTTGTAGGTTTTAAATCCTACATATGTCACATTGTGCACCTACAAATATTTCAGTGAAATATATATTTTAGTCAGAATTATTGCGCGCGCATGCGCGGCGGCGCTCGTTCACTGAAGTCTGTGACGTTTAGCGGAGATTAGCAAAGAACGCTCATGCAGCAAAATGGAAATATTTCTGTGACTTTCTAACATTTACAGATGGAGAATATACCTGTAAAATGTAAGTTATGCATTAAGAAAAACGGCACATCTCAAACACATTAAACAGCGCGTGTAGCATCTCTGTCAGTGGCACTCGCAGTCTTTCTGTCAGAGCCATTTTAAACTATACAAAACTATAAACTATATCTTACGAGTTTTTTAAAAGCCCTTAATATAAAGCTTGTCACATGTTTAGAACAAATTGGATTATGCACTTTCTCCGCAGTGGCTGTGTCTGTGTCCTCCGCTATATTTTTCAGGTGTGCTCGTATCAAACTACTGTATATCGATATAAACAGTATTGCCTCATACCGTATTGCTTATAAAGCATATATCGATATATCATACAAACTCGATATATTGCCCAGCCCTACTCACAAGCAGCTCATGATCCAGTGGTGTTTGCAAAGTCTCAGAATGTCTTGATTTGCAGTAAATGCTGCTCCACACAAACGCCATCTGCATCTGCTGTGAGTTTGAGTCGCTTTTACATGCATCTGAGAACAAGACACGAGGCAACGGTCTACACAAACTTTTAATGACCAGAGAGAAGGTTTCAGGGCTCCCTGCGGTTTTCTGTCAAAATAAATGATTATTTAACATTTGAAAATGAAGACATTTTAACAGCCATAAAGTATAGTAATTGTACAGTTGTAATGTAAAAGAAATTTCAATACTTTCCTTAAATACTCTTTTTTTTTTTTACAGTGAAATATTGCAATATTAACATTTAAAAAATATATATTTTTATTTTTTTGTTTTATTTTATTTATTTATTTATTTTTAATTTTTTAATTTTATTTTTTTTATATATTTTTTTACATGTTACCTTATTTGTATATTTGTGTAGTTGTATTTTATATTTAATCTGTATATCTGTATTTATGTTCTACTGTTAGTGTTATCTGTATGCACCAAGGGTCTGAGAGTAACGCAATTTCAATTCTCTGTGTGTATGTGCTGTACATGTGGAAGAATTGACAATAAAGCATAGAATAGAGATTGCTAGAGTTAGAGGGTCAGATAAAGATGGAAGAGATGTTTTATTTAAGATTTTTATTTAATAATAATAATAATAATATTGTTATTTTATAGCCATATTGATTGATATATAATAACAACATTTTGGACAAATTCTGCTGCCCTACAAATTAACACCGCAAACCTGGATTGTTTTTAATTGAAAAAATTGCAATTTATGTTTTGAAGTGTTTGAAACCACCACTAGAGGAAATAAGCATTTGTTCAATAGGACTTGATTCAGAACTTTTGATTATGACAACTTCCCCATGTGACAACTAGCCCCTGACACCCCATGTGACATACTCACGTGTTTCGGTTGGCGTGTGATCTCAGAAACAAGGATATTGCATGCATTCATATGGATCTCGTTTGGGAGCATGTCAGAAGTGCAGTGGGGATGGAATCGACTTTTTTTTTAACATGCCCTTGGTACTTATTTTGTTTGTGGTACCTGTAGTTTTTCAGCACCAGTAACTTCAGAAAATGTTTATTTTTCCAAAATAGATCTGTCACTTTTATATCTTCTCTCTCTCTCCACAGAACTGTGGTGCAAGGCGCCGTTTGTGTACGTTAATGGCAAAGAGGTTTGGGATGGTGGCGGTGCTCTTTCTGGACCGCAGCAGACGGGCCTGTTACTGCAGTGGAACAGCACGGTAAAAACATCCACCGGTCCTGATCCAGACCACACGGACACTGAGAGTCCTCACGGAGCGCTGGTAGATCTACTAGACGTCTGTGAGCTGAAAAAGACACCAGAAGAGTTGAACAAGGAGGAAATGCATGAAGACGTGCACAAACCACTGCGTTACGTCAATCAGATGGAAGCTCCTGCAGCATCTGTGTGTGATGGAAACGTTGGTGTGAGAGCGTGTCGGTGGTCAGAGAGGACAAACAGTGACGTAAACCTCTCAGAATCAGCGCTCAGGTGTCTAGAAGAAACAAATGATGGAGAGCCTGTGATGACTGAGTCTGAGTTTCCCAGTATTGAATATCAGAGTCACTCAGACATTGATAACATGCTCTCTGCATTCAACCAGCTTGATGCACATGCAGAAACAGACCGTGAGGTGGATTCATCCGTGTCAAATAGACTCACTCATCCCAGCACTGACATCTTCCTGGGGTTTGATTCTGACGCTGGGAATGAAGCCCTTGGCAGCCCAGTGTTTGATTTGGCGGCTTTGCTTGCAGACTCTCAGCAGGTTCAGACACCAGCGGAGCCCATCGGCTGGCATTTTCCCGTCGGCCTTGGGTTGTCACAGATGTGTTATTGCCCTTATGTGCAGTTTCCTGACGTCAGCTATTATCCTGCGCTTCAGGATAGTGACAGCATTGAAGGTGGGAATCCCAGATTTAACACCAGACAAAAGTTTGGACTTGTGCTTCAATTACTGAAATTAATTTTAAAAATATTTTACAAACGTTAATGCAAGACACTACAGGCAAACAGCGTTTTTCATGCACTGGTCAATTTTGAGATTTTGGGCTATTTTACTTCTTTAACATATCTTTTTTTCAGACTAGTGAAAAGAAGACAACCAAAATACACATTTAAGTGTTTATTTTATTGCAGTTTATCTATTTGTGTTTGTAGATGTCAATTCCAATTGATATTTTTAAAGGCAGTGAATTTTTTACTTCATTTCAGCCACGCTTACACCAAACTTTAGTTATTTTCCTCGCTATACAGTAAATTCTGAAGGGTTTTATAGAGGGGGTTGTTCATATGTCATTCACACTGATTTATGTGACATTTTATTCCTAAAAACATGGTGAAATTGTATTTTTTTTTTCTGCCTGTTGACAGTACTTTCTGGTAGGGATGTCACGAGAACCGATACTATGGTACCAAGTCGGTATAAACATTTTAAAATCCTGCCGGTACTTGTTTTTCTTCAGTAGCGTAAGTACCGATTGTACCGAAGGTAGCGACTAGCGAGGTTGCAATTCTTCCAGAACTGACGGGGGGCAGGCAGAGCATACGACCTGGAAGTGTTTCAGTTGGTCCTCACAGGGTTAAGAAGAAGAAAAAATGCCTAAAAACCACACATTCAGTCGCAATGACTCACTTATTAACAGTGACTTGCTGCCACCTACTGGCAGTTTTAATTTCACATTTAAAGTATCTTTTTATTATTTAAATAATTTCAAATATCAGTATTCAACGTTTTATGTTTAATATATCAGAACAATATTTATGCATTTGTAATCGCAGGTTAAATGCATTCATGTCCTGCATTAATCAGTGTGTAAATGCATCTAAATGCCACTTCAGATGCAGTTTCTGTTTCTCCTCTGCATTGCAAATTTTGTTGATACTGATTTCATTTGCTTGGTAACAGCCCAAATGTCTTATTATTCTAATTCAATGATTAAATGTAAGAATTTGACTCATAAGATAATGTACACGTTTAGAAAAAATGGCTTTATAAAGGTAAAAATGCCCAGAAAAAGGTAAAAATCAGTTTAAACTTATTGGAAAAGATTAATTTCTATCTGACCACCACACAGAATATGAAGAATATCAGAAACTTCAGAAGTCAGCTGTCCACGAAAGTCCTTAAGATACCAGCACAATAACACACTCAGCAAAATATCGTCTAATTATCGTTATTAATAAAATCCCATAAAATATTGACATATTATTTTTTGTCAATATCGCACACCCCTAATCACAGCAGAAGTATTGCACATTCTCCAAGCAACACTCGGCGGTGTTTTGTTACTGAATGATTCAGCGTTTTGAACGAATCGGTTGAATGAATGACTCAATGACTCACTCATTAAGTGACTTACCGCCACTTACTGGTAGTTTAGTATGTTGAAAAGTATGCATTTTCCCCCCCAACATTTCTTATTTGTATAATCATAAATGTATTTAAAACATTAATCTCATAACATTTATATCCCTAACAATAACATGTCTGGGCCCGTATTCACAAAACATTTTATCTTACCGCTAAGAGTTCTCCTAAATAGCAGTAAGAGTTTTCTCTTAAAACCTATTCACAAAGCTGCTGAGACAAACTTTTACTAAGGAATAGAGAGAAGTCTTAAGCTAAGAGTAAGGGGGCGAGGTTGACCTTGTTACTATGGATGATGTCAGCATGCTTACTAATTATGCACCCAGTGATTGGGTGATAGGAGAGGGGAGGGGTCTCTGTCAGAGATTTATTCATAGAAATATTGCAGAGCGCAATGTTATGTTGCCATATTCAAATAAAGGTTTAAAAATGTTAATTGCCACATTCAAATAAAGATTTTAAAATGCAGGCTAAGTGTCACTAATTAAACAATATAATATACGTATATGTATATGTTCAGCTAATTGTCAGCCTGTATGCTTCTCGTAGACAAATTAATGAATATGCATATAAACAGCCTTTTAATTAACAGAGGTTAGAATAATCATGGCTGATAGTTAGACATGCAAACAAAAAAGAAAACCAAACTAGACACAAGAACAGCTGTTACTTCTTGCCCAATTGGTTAATGAAAACAAGCATATAATCAAAGGAAAATTTGGAGTTGGGATAACCTCCAAAACCAAAGGCGATACCTTTATAAAAGCTCATTATCGTCAGATGTTTCTAAAATGTTTACGTTCCGAGGCAGATTGCTGGCAACAGCCATTTAAGGATAGTTTGTGGCTTGGTCTTAGTGACTTAGGAGTCCTCTTCACTACTCATAACCTTTCACAGATTTAGGAGCTAGTTTTAGTGCAAAAACGCTTTGTGAAATACTCTTAGAGCAAAAATTTAGGAGTCCTAAATTTAGAATTGATGCCCATTATTTTTAAGATTTTCTCCTAAATTGGCGAGTTATGAGCTACTTTTAGCTTGAAGATGTTTTGTGAATACGGGCCCTGG